TTGTTCCGGATGCCCCATGACGGTCTCGAACTGAGAACCGCAGAAACGCCACACTCTCGCGTGTGACTTTCCGACCGACGATCGCACTCTACGGGAGGGGAGGGAAGAAGAACAAACAGGGCCAGCCCAGTCCAGTAGTGGGCCTCCTTTCAGTCAAAGAAAACCTCATATTTTACCTAATTGAACAAAATGAACAAATATCTCTTTCCTGTCTTCGACCATAAAAACCTCTTTTCTCATTTATATTTGGTAAACTTGGACAAACGGGGCCCATGAAACGATGATGGGAGGAAGGAGGGCTTTGAGTGGTTGGATGCCTCCGCCACGAAGGTTGGTAGGGAACTGACAGCTCTGGTTGCTGACATGGCGCCGCGTTCGAAGCCTGGAGTTTACCCGCATGTGCATTGTGATCTACATCCTGAAGGGCTCGTAGTTTCTCATAGCTTTCCCTTCGTTAGCGAATTTCAAATCCAAAATTTGCAATAAATAAGCTAATATTGGTGGAAATTCACCGCAAAACGAACCCAGTCTGTATTTTGTTCATATGTACCCGTTTACCAATTTTTGCATTGATCAGACCAATATTTTTTTGTTATCGTCGGACAACCAAAGTGTGAAACATGGACACATTGACACACGGAGGGACAGGACGGTGGTATAAGAGGCTTCTTTCCTTTAAGGAAAGGAGGCCTACTAAAAAAGAGAAGAATAGACCTGGATTTAAGGGCCTGCAGTGATCGATGGGATGACCCGTGAAGCCTTTCGGGCAGGAGCAGATGGGCTTGTGGTTTTCCACGCGGCATTCTGCGTTCATCCCGCACGCCCCCACGCATGGGTCCGTGCATCTGAAGTTAATGCACGCCTGGTGATAGGCACACTCCTCGTGTACCGTACATTCCGCGTAGCATCGGATTCGAGGGTCTCCCAGGAAATCTGAACGGAGACGAAAGTTAATTATGTAGAAAATAAAAATGAATCACCTTTCAGAAGGTTTTGTCGGCTTATTTTTTAAAGATGAAAACGAAAATTCGAAATCCCATGTTAGGAACGGGATGGGAAAATCCTTTTCGAAATGCATGGGATTTCGGGTGTAAAAGATCTCCCAAAATCGACCACATTCTCTGCGTACTACTACGGAACGTGAAATCTGCCACGTACCTTTGGGGCAGGAGCAGATGGCCCGGTGATGTTCCACACGGCACTCCGCTTTCTCCCCGCACGCATCCGTGCAAGGGTTCACGCACTTGTGTAGCCGACACTCTTGTGTCTGTGCACAGGCGGAATCCGTTTCGCACTCCGCTCTGGAAATCGTAGCATTTCACACATTAAATTCATCACGTTAGCTCTCCCCATAAAAATGTGTGTCAGTGTGCACCGCGTGGTGGACGACGGGAAGATCCACCCCTTCCATTTCTTCCGATGCGATCTTCGGAGGAATAGGTATGCTTTCGCGTACGTTTCCGACCCTTCCTATATAGGTTTTCCGAAGGAGGTCGACAAAAACGACGAGAACAGTGGAAGCAGGTAACGGGCCTCACTGGACCGCGCGTCGCCTCGCGGTGGGAGCGTGAATTCTTTCCGGCCTCGTTCGATCCCCCTCCTGGAAACGGAGAAACGGCTCACCTGCACCCTTGGACGGGGTTGCCGAAGAAATGGGGAAGGCAGGAGCAGATGGCCAGATGGAATGCAACCTCGCACTTGGAGTTTCTCCCGCACGGCGACGGATCGCACAGCTCCTCTTAAGATTCACGAACGAAATCGGTCTCGTGAACGTCCGGGAGACACGGGAAACGGATGCATGCGGTGAAACGTTACCGGGGCCGAGTCGTCGACACCCTTCGAAGGGATCGCCGGTGTGACCTGCGGGGCAGGTGCAGGCGGGGACGTGTCTCCGGACGATGCACTGGGCACCCGTCCCGCACGTCCCCGGACACGGATCCGTGCAGTAGAAATCATTGCACACTCGATCGTCGCTGCAGTCGTGAGTCTCTGCGAAAGCGAGAAACGACGCATGATCTACCCCTTTCGCGCCTTAGGAAACGCTCGAGATCGCGGAAGACGCACCGACGCATTCACCCTTGAAGCAGCTCGTCTCGGGGTTCCCGTAGTAGATGCACGTGCACACGGGATGGCCGCCGCTGGCCCGACACTTCGCGTGCGCCCCACAAGCATCCGGGAAGCACGGGTCCGTGTTATCTCTCTCGCTCCCTTGTCACATTTAAATAAAACGATGTCATTGTCTCTCGGATTCCCATATCTTTTTCCTGCAAAATATTCCAAACCAGCTTGACTTTGACTCCATCAGCCGGAAAGGACCTGACCGGAGCACTTCCTAACCGCGACGGAGAGCGGCAACGCTGGAAGGCATGCTTTTTATAGAGAAGAGTAGGTGTCGCACGATAAAGATTGCAGATACATATGTCGAAATGCTAAAAAAAATAGCAGAACCCAGTCACTGCCTCATTCGCGATGGGATACAGTAGGGCCCCATTCGCACTTTTTCACCTTGCCAATTCAACAGCCCAAAAATATCACGTGGGGGAATGCGAAAGTCTATAGAGGGGAAATGCGAAGCCCCACACTGGATCATTCTCCCACAAGAATCGCAGCGTGTTCACTATGAGGCTCCGGTTGAAAAAAAAAGAAACGCAGGAAGACAAGAAGGTATCACATTCGTCTCTTGAAATCAATAGGATATTCCTTGGATTTTCCCTTTTCTTCATGACAAAATCCGTGAAAAAGTTTCAATATGAGTCCGTATCATGCATGAAGTGTATTCAATTCCTATATAACTAAGAAAGTTTGAGGGCTGAATGTCCCCCTTTTTTAGCATGAAGAAGGCACATTGATATTTTTGGTAGCTTGGAGGAAAATGGACATGTTAACGGAGATCAGAGGTAAAATCCTAATTTTTATGAATAGAAAGACAATTCCGAAGTTTATAACAGAAACCTAACCTCAAACGAGTCTGCGTGGTGAAATTATTTCCAGTTGCAATGAAATCCGAATATCTACAGTACACTAAGATGCAAAAGTCTTTGCCAAAAGTCCAAAAGTGATTCTCAGGGTGGGTTATCAAAATATCAAAATCAATTTCATTAAAAGGTAAGGAATGGGACAAGGTACACAAGTATCACAATCAAAAATTGATCCTCTCTCCTTTCGAATCAATCATAGCTAAGCATTACGCTCTCATCGAATCCACCATATGATACAGAGTGCCCATGTCGATTCTGTCCCAATCTTCCAGCAGAATTCTGTCCAATTCGTCGAGGTTTCCGCATCTCGACACGTTGTTTGAGAATCGACCAGAGGTTCTCGTTCGGATTGACCTCGGGACAGTTCGACGGCCGGTCGATCGTTTCGGGTACGTCCTCGAATACGAACTGCTTCGTCACTAGATTTCTATTTGGGATCGTTGTATTGTTCCGGATGCCCCATGACGGTCTCGAACTGAGAACCGCAGAAACGCCACACTCTCGCGTGTGACTTTCCGACCGACGATCGCACTCTACGGGAGGGGAGGGAAGAAGAACAAACAGGGCCAGCCAAGTCCAGTAGTGGGCCTCCTTTCAGTCAAAGAAAACCTCATATTTTACCTAATTGAACAAAATGAACAAATATCTCTTTCCTGTCTTCGACCATAAAAAACCTCTTTTCTCATTTATATTTGGTAAACTAGGACAAACGGGGCCCATGAAACGATGATGGGAGGAAGGAGGGCTTTGAGTGGTTGGATGCCTCCGCCACGAAGGTTGGTAGGGAACTGACAGCTCTGGTTGCTGACATAGCGCCGCGTTCGAAGCCTGTGGTTTACGCGCATGTGCATTGTGATCTACATCCTGAAGGGCTCGTAGTTTCTCATAGCTTTCCCTTCGTTAGCGAATTTCAAATCCAAAATTTGCATTAAATAAGCTAATATTGGTGGAAATTCACCGCAAAACGAACCCAGTCTGTATTTTGTTCATATGTACCCGTTTACCAATTTTTGCATTGATCAGACCAATATTTTTTAGTTATCGTCGGACAACCAAAGTGTGAAACATGGACACATTGACACACGGAGGGACAGGACGGGGCTATAAGAGGTTTCTTTCCTTTAAGGAAAGGAGGCCTACTAAAAAAGAGAAGAATAGACCTGGATTTAAGGGCCTGCAGTGATCGAAGGGATGACCCGTGAAGCCTTTCGGGCAGGAGCAGATGGGTTTGTGGTTTTCCACGCGGCATTCTGCGTTCATCCCGCACGCCCCCACGCATGGGTCCGCGCATCTGAAGTGAACGCACGCCTGGTGATGGGCGCACTCCTCGTGTACCGTACATTCCGCGTAGCATCGGATTCGAGGGTCTCCCAGGAAATCTGAACGGAGACGAAAATGAATTATGTAGAAAATAAAAATAAATCTCAAATAAATCTCAAATAAATCTCAGAAGCTTTTGTCGGCTTATTTTTTAAAGATGAAAACGAAAATTCGAAATCCCATGTTAGGAACGGGATGCGAAAATCCTCGTCGAAATGCATGGGATTTTGTGTGTAAAAGGTGTTCCAAAATCGGCGACATTCTCTGCGTACTACTACGGAACGTGAAATCTGCCATGTACCTTTGGGGCAGGAGCAGATGGCCCGGTGATGTTCCACACGGCACTCCGCTTTCTCCCCGCACGCATCCGTGCAAGGGTTCACGCACTTGTACAGCCGACACTCTTGTGTCTGTGCACAGGCGGAATCCGTTTCGCACTCCGCTCTGGAAATCATAGCATTTCAAACATTAAATTCATCACGTTCGCTCTCCCCATCAAAATGTGTGCCAGTGTGCACCGCGTGGTGGACGACGGGAAGATCCACCCCTTCTATTTCTTCCGATGCGATCTTCGGAGGAAGAGGTATGCTTTCGCGTACGTTTCGGACGATTCCTAACATAAGTTTTCCGAAGGAGGTCGACAAAAATGACGGGAACAGTGGAAGCAGATAACGGGCCTCACTAGACTGCGCGTCGCCTCGCGGCGGGAGCGTGGGTTCTTTCCGGCCTCGTTCGATTCCCCTCCTGGAAACGAAGAAACGGCTCACCTGCACCCTTGGACGGGGTTACCGAAGAAATGGGGAAGGCAGGAGCAGATGGCCAGATGTAAAGCAACTTCGCACTTGGAGTTTCTCCCGCACGGCGACGGATCGCACAGCTCCTCTGGAAATTCAGGAACGAAATTGGTCTCACGAACGCTCGGGAGACACGGGAAACGGACGCATGCGGGGAAACGTTACCGGGGCCGAGTCGTCGACACTGTTCGAAGGGATCGCCAGTGTGACCCGCGGGGCAGGTGCAGACGGGGACGTGTCTCCGGACGATGCACTGGGCACCCCTCCCGCACGTCCCCGGACACGGATCCGTGCAGTAGAAATCCTTGCACACTCGATCGTCGCTGCAGTCGTGAGTCTCTGCGAAAGCGAGAAACGACGCATGATCTACCACTTTCGCGCCTTAGGAAACGCTCGAGATCGCGGAAGACGCACCGACGCATTCACCCTTGAAGCAGCTCGTCTCGGGGTTCCCGTAGTAGATGCACGAGCACACGGGATGGCCGCCGCTGGCCCGACACTTCGCGTGCGCCCCACAAGGATTCGGGAAGCACGGGTCCGTGTTATCTCTCTCGCTCCCTAGTGACATTTCAATAAAACGATGTCATTGTCTCTCGGATTCCCATATCTTATTCCTGCAAAATATTTCAAACCAGCTTGACTTTGACTCCATCAGCCGGAAAGGACCTGACGGATCACTTCCTAACCGCGACGGAGAGCGGCAACGCTGGAAGGCATGATTTTTATAGAGAAGAGTAGGTGTCGCACGATAAAGATTCAAATACATATGTCGAAATGCGAAAAAAATAGCAGAACCCAGTCACTGCCTCATTCGCGATGGGATACAGAAGGGCCTCTTTCGCAATTTTTCACCTTCATCAGCTCATCAGTTCATCAGCCCAAAAACATCACGTGGGGAATGGAAAAGTCTATAGAGGGGAAATGCGAAGCCCCACACTGGATCATTATCATTTTCCCACAAGAATCGCAGCGTGTTCGCTATGAGGCTCCGGTTGAAAAAAAAGGAAACGCAGGAAGACGAGAAGGTATCATGTTCGTCTCTTGAAATCAATAGGATATTCCTTGGATTTTCCCTTTTCTTCATGACAAAATCCGTGAATAAGTTTCAATATGCGGCCGTATCATGCATGAAGTGCATTCAATTTCTATATAACTGAGAAGGTTTGAGGGCTGAATGTCTCGTTTTTTAGCATGAAGAAGGCACATTGATATTTTTCGGAGCTTGGAGGAAAATGGACATGTTAACGGAGATCAGAGGTAAAATCCTAATTTTTATGAATAGAAAGACAATTCCGAAGTTCATAACAGAAACATAACCTCAAACGAGTCTGCCTGGTGAAATAATTTCTAGTTGCAATGAAATACGAATATCTACACTAAGATGCAAAAGCCTTTGCCAAAAGTC